TGGAATTTCATAGAATTATGGCTGCTAAGGTTTCCTCTGCTACCAATTTTTACTATTGTGGGGGAATGAAGAAATGAAATGCAGAAGAGAACAGAGAAAAGATGAAGGCTAAGTGGTGGATGTGAAGATGAAAGGCTCCCGGCCACCCTCAGCTTCCCATTGAGACACAGAAAACACTTCCTAGTGGAATTCCCAGCAGTTAGATACCTGGCACTGAGAGATCAATTCTATATTTGCCAGTTTTACCTTTCCAACCATGACTGAAAATGATATGGGCACAATTTCTGAGTTATTTAAATTTTTTCAAAAAAAAATAAAAATAAAAAGTATTCTCATACAATTTGATAAACTTGACCTACACCTATGGAAGCAGTAACTCAAAAGAGGGAACAAATCCTTACAGCAAGAATCATTCCTACCCCCTCCACACACAGAGTAGACAGGGATGGGCAACTTGGACATTGGCTACCCAAAATGGGGGACAGGGGGCTACAAAGGCAAGAAGTGACTGGCTTATAAGCTTTCAAAAGGGAACCTAGATCCAGAGGGCCTGGAGGAAGGTAGAATCTCCAGTGAGTAGTATTCAATCTGACTATGCAGGGCTGATACAATGAAATGCAGATGGGTCTCTTGTGATACAGTAGTGAATAATTGTTATCAGAACTGATTGTGAGGGTCGGAAATGTAAAGGTAGATGTTTTATAGCAAGGAGGGGAGTCATTAACCTAGGACCACCTATGACTTTTTACCATTAATGTGCTTCATTCAGTTATTTTTCTGCAGAAATGCCTTTTCTTTATTTATTAACTCATGAAGCATTTATAACTTAAACAAAAAAAAGTCAGTGAAAACCTCCTTTGATAATCCCAAGCATCATTGTCACTGTCTGTGGAGAGGCCACCAGATGGAAATTATCTGTACCTTGAAGCCAAGCATGCAAAAGAATAGACACAGAATCAGCTCAACATCCCCAATCAAGAACTGCCTATATGTTTCAAAGTTATAATGTTGAAAGCATTTCATTTACTATATGAGAGTATTTGTGTCTGGAAAGGTCTGTGAAAGGAGATTTTCAATTTTGCTCATTGTGTTTGGTTATTCAATGCTTTTTACATTATTTTCAATGAGAAATTAATTTGTCTAAACAAAGAGTAATTCCCCACTCCCCCACATCTTTTCCTTGAAAGAACCACAAATGTATGCTTTTTTTTTTCTCTTAACTTGCCAGCACACCAGCCCCAATTCCTGGGGAGCTTAGTGGCTCTATAGGATAAGCAATGGACTGCAAACCACAAAGTTGGTTGTTAGAGCCCACTGGCTGCTCTGTGGGAGAAAGATGAGGCTTACTGCTCCCACATCCAACCTTATACGGGGTCACTGGAGTCCTGGTGTAGTGTATTAAATTAGCATTTATGGATCACTAGATTGCTAACCACAAGGCTGTTGGTTCAAACCCACCAATGACTCCTTGGAAATCTTATGCAGAGTAACTATGAGTCAGAGCCAACTCAAAGGCACTTAACAACAGTCTCATGGCCTAAGTTTCCAACTTAAAATTCTGAAGAATGATGAGAGAAAAACAGGAGCACTTAAGGATGGTTTTCTTCCACTCTTCCACTTAGAGCCCACTATAATCATGGTTTTGTTGTTGTTAAGTGCTGTCAATCAGTTCTGAGTCATAGGGACCCTATATAAGGTTTCTGAGGGTGCCTGGTGTGTTTGAACTGCCAATCTTGTGGTTAGCACTCCAGTGCTCATCCTACATTACTGCACCAAGAAGAAAAAACAGGTTTATGAATCTTAAGGCCTCTCCCCAAAGCAACCATTTCCTAGAATCTGAGCAATTTACACAGATTCCCTAAGACTGATCATTTGACCTCTCTCTTTTTCTTTCCTAATGAATTTTGGACTTTTTTTTTTTTTTTACAGCAGCCATAAAACCGAAAAAAAAAAAAAAAAAATCTATGGAGAAAGCAGTCTTCCCCATCTTTATAAACCATCAGGTTAAAACTGAATTTACAGGGTAGAATATAACACTACAAATCAGTGAATATTGTCACTTTTATGGACAAGGGAATAGAAACAAGGGATTTGAAGTTTATCCTTGAAGTACCTTGAAAGAATGTAATTATAGAAGCACATTTTAAAGTATCTTTTGCTTATGAATATTTACCCAAATATTTTCTTGTTTACTTGAGTACTTGTTTTTGTTTTCACCAGACAGCTAGCTATTCTTTCTCTGTTTCTCAGCTGTTGTTGGTCATTTCTCTTACATAATTGTGAACCAGGCATCTAGAAACAGGACCAAATCTTAAAGGCTGGACTTCTGGTGAGATATCCTACCTACTTACTTTGCCAAAGCCCATTCTCTTTCCTCTGGGTTTACTTTAATAGCCAACCAGGATTGTTGCTATTTATTAGGATGATTGATTAGTATCGTGTCCTTATCCCAGATAAGCACTATTATTATCTCCTTTTTATAGACAAGGAATCAAGCTTAACAAGGTTAAGTAACTTGCAAAGGATCAATGGTTGATGACTAGCCTCCTTTTCTTCAAAAGCACTCACCGAATGAAAGTTTTGGAAATGACTTTTGAGCAGACTCCCCACCCTATCCCCAAAGCCTACCATCCAGAACATTTGGAAGAGGAATCTTTGAGTAGCCTAGGATTTCCTGTGAGAGTTACCTGCCTTACAGCAAAGTCAAAGAAATCCCGGAAACCTGCTAATGTAAACCCCAAGCCCAACTTGATACCAGTTGGCTGAAGACTGGATCCCAAAGGCATAATCTCAGAATTATGATGAAAGTCCAATAATTTAGGTTCAGAAAGCAATTCTCTGGAGTTTGGGATTATTTTGGTTCAGAACGAGACATTTTGCTCCTCTATTTTCCTCTCATTTTCTAACTAAAATCCAGCCAGCTGTGTTTTCTATCTGGTCTAACAAACTGATTTTTACTTTTATAAAACAGAGATAGAACCCTAATTCAGGTAGTTCTTTCAGGAATTTCATTCTTTATATATAGTTTTCTAATTTTTCTACTAAGAGGATGTTGCTTTAAAATAGACTGATGTTTTAAAAATCGTTCTGGGTTCCCCAAATTCTTGTTGTTATTATTGCTATGTGCTATAGAGTGGGGAACAGAAAGTCTGATCATTCTCCTTCAGAGCAGCTGGTGAGCTTGAACCACCATCTTTGTGGCTCTTGTCCAGTGCTTTTCCTATAGAGCAAATTATTACTTTTCTAAAATCGCAATGAAAATAGAAAACTTAACATGGAGATAATGTGGTGTGTGTTTAAAATGACTGTGTAGATAGTATTTGAAGAAGGAGAAGCTGTATCCAAACAGGAATTGGCTGTTGTCTTTCATTGTTTTTCATTCTGCTAGTTCGACCTGGATTGACTTTAGGGGGTTTGTGAACTACTTGCAATTTTAAGTAATGGAGTGAATACAATTGAAGCTGAAGAAAGCTTTCAGTGTGTGTGTGTATGTGAGTGTGTACACCGATATTAGTTTGAAGAGTGTGTACCTCTCAAGGTGACCCTGTCCCCAAAGGCTTTAAGGGCATAATGAGTCCCCAGTGCTTGCTTTTAAGGCGGGAGAAAAAAGAGTCAGGGTTAGAAAGATTTTAAATTAAGCTTGAAAATGCAGTGATCCAAATTCCAAGGTGCAGGAATTTCTGATCTACTGGCAATGACTTGATGCCACCTTTAAAATTAACATTCTTCACCAAACCTTCTCAGTAAGGGGCAGCAAAGACCACATTCTGATGCCCACGTGGGTATGCAAATTTTTCACAATACATTTTATTATTCATAAAAAAATAAATTTATTTACATTTGCTAATTACTGTGGTTGTGCAGCCTGGAGACAAAGGCACATTCTGCTAGATCAGGGTTAGGTAGCACCAAACCCTACCTGGCACCTTCACCAGAGAAATACTGCTTCAGGAAACCGGCGTTTGGGGCGGTGTCCGGGGGAGGGATAATTAAAGGTTGGAAAGGGTGGCATGGTGGTGAGGAAAATCCGAAGGTTGAATGAGCACGGTGAAACCAGAGTGGGGAGTCAAGGAAGGTCCAAATCTGGGGAGGAAACCTAAATCTGAGGCCTGGAGTAGCAGCGGACAGGGACTGATGAGGGAGGAGTGGCTTGATCCTAGGAGAGAGGTTTAAAAAGAAATCTGGTGAAGAGGTCCGAGCCTGGGGGTGGACGACATAGCCTGGGGCACGAGGGTCCAGAATTCAATGCCAACAAAACCAGGCTATGTAAGCGCGCCTCCACCCTCCAGGTGCCCGAGGGCAACGTCCCACCTGCTGGGTACACCCTGGCTGGCCCAGATAAGGCATTCTTCACTTTTTGCCATTTAAAAACATGCTCAAAGTGAATTTCACATCAGGACTTCCTTCTTTAAAGCCGGTCGATCTAACTAGTGTCTAACGTGAAGGGTTTGGCTGCACCATCACTTGTGTATTTAGCTCAGCTTGGAAACCAACCACTAAATTGTTTGGGCTGGATTCAGAAGGCAGTGCACCGCTTAGCACACTATCAAAAACCCGAGACTGGGGTTTGACTCTGACGTGACAAGCCTGAAGGAAGCCCTTTCCGTAGAGACAAGGCGCAGTCGTTCATAACCGCAGCAGCAGCAGCAGCAGCAGCGGCGGCCACACCACTGACCCCTGAGCTCTGCCCTTTACACCCTGGGACCACCACAGGGAACACCCGCAAATCAGCAGCAGCAGCAGCAGCGGCGGCCACACCACTGACCCCTGAGCTCTGCCCTTTACACCCTGGGACCACCACAGGGAACACCCGCAAATGCCGCCTCTCGTGTTCACAGTCCCAGGGAAAGGGGAGGGAGGTCAGGGAGAATCCAGTGGACCTCCGTGAATCCAAGGAACTTCTTTTTCCACCCTCTGGGGTTCTCACGCTTTCTTCCTTGTCTCTGTGGCCCCCAACACACGCTTAACGAATAATCCCATCCAGTGGGTGTCAGTCCGATCTAAGCGGTGGTTCCACATAGTCTGTTGGCTGCAGAAACGTCTTTGGTATCAGAATCGGGTCGTCCAGAGACTACGAATGGCCATGTCTGTAAATTAAAAGAAAAAAAAATCAGATACAAGAGGAGAAACCAGTATCTCAAATCGAAACCAACCTCCTAAGAAAGCCCCGGAACATCCCTGTCTTTAAATAGTTCAGATTTTAATCAGTCTTCCCGGAATTTTCGTGCTTTTCTGTAAACTAAAACTTTAATGTTAATAGCCTTGTTTATGCAAAACGTGAGGTGTCCACATTTCCTCCTGGACTCTGCTCTCAAGTTGGTTCTGTGAAACTTGCTGGAGTCTGCGCTTTTGTCATTTGAATTCCCTTCCCCACCACACAAGAACCCCTGAGTGGTGCGTGGTGCGCGCGTACACACACAACCAGTCTCTCAAGTAGTATTGGGCCTACGGAGAATATGGGGCCCTGGATAGACTCTCATAAAATATTTCCCAAGCCTTGAGACTTGGCAGGTCGAAAGGGGCTTTCCAGACAAGTCGCTTTGGGGAAAACTTTGCTATCCAGTATGAATTTTTAAAAGTCCAAAGTGGCACTGTGGACTAGGTGTTGGGCTGCTCAACAAACACAAGGTCGGCAGTTCAAACCTACTACCCGCTCTGTGGGAGCTGGGGGAAAGACAAGGCTGCATGTTCCTGGAAAGATTTACAGTTTCTGGGAAACCCTGGTCTCTGATTCAGAATTGACTTGAGGTGGGTTTGGTTTAGGTTTTTTAGGAAACACGCCTTTATAGAGCTCTGCCTTTCCTCATTTTTACAAAGTAGCTCTTGCTGTATCAAACCTGTTAGACCGATAGCTGAAAAAAATTGGGCAAGGGCGATTTGGATTCAGTTTACTACCGGATAGGAGACTCAGTTGGAAAGGTTTCCCCAGAAGTGGGAAATTAGTCAATGTCTGTGACTGGGAGAAACACCATTTGCAGTGAATGTTGTTGTTGTTGTTGTTATGTGCCGTGGAGTCAGTTGTGACTCATAGCGACCCTGTACAGGGTTTCCGAGGCTGTAAATCTTTACGGGAGCAGAACGCCTCATCTTTCTCCCGCGGAACAGCTGGTTAGAATGTTGGAAATGCAGAAAGGGTAGATGATTTCTTCTTATGGTAAATGGCTGGCCCCTTCCATGATTTAGGACAAAGTAAACCTGGTTTCACTGGTGTGGTGCTATGGGTTAATGCGCTGGACTGCAGTCGGTTTGAGCTGTAAGTTTGGCAGTTCAACTTCATCAACCGCTCCTTGGAAACCTTGTATAGAATCGCTATGGGTCAGAACCGACTCGATGGCACTTAACAACAAACCTGGTGTGGGCTGCGGGTTAATGCGCTGAACTGCAAGGTCTTTTTGAACCGCAAGGTCGTTGGTTCAGCCTCACCAGCCGCTCCTCGGAAACCATATACAAGGTCGCTAAGAATCGGAACCGACTGGAGGGCACTTAACAACAACAAAACTGGCCTCGGATCTCTCTATCCCAGAACCCCCTTTTCCGGTTCCTCCCCAAAGCGGCGCTCCGGGCCTCTAGCGAGGCGCCCCTACCAGGTTCACTGGATGCACGTAGCCGTTCTCATAGCGGTCCTCCTGCAACAGCTGGCGCAGGTGAGCGATGTAACTGGACGCTAGCCGGAGCGTGTCCAGCTTGGAGAGCTTGGTGTCTGGGGGCACCCAGGGCAGACTGGTCTTGAGCCTGGAGAAGGCTTTGCTCAGCACGCGCATCCGGGCGCGCTCGCGGGCATTGGCCGCGTTTCTCTGTGACTGCTTACACTCAGCGATCGAGCCCTTGGGCGGAAGGGGCTTTTTGTTGTTGCTGCCGCTGTGGTTGCCGCTCCTGCCGACGCTAGCCGCCACGCGAGGTCGCTTCCTTTTGCAGCCTCCAGGGTCACTGGCCGCGCCCAGCGCGCCGCGCTCTTCCTCGCCGTCGGGGTCCTCCTCCTCGGCAGAGGAGTTGTCACTGGGCGAGGCATAGCTGCGATCGGCGCTGTGGAGGGGCGGCCTGGTGGAGGCGGAGACTGGATACCCCCGCTGCAACCCACGCAGCTCCAGCTCCTCGGGGTCGCTCACTGAACCAGTGGACATTGCGACGTTTCCCGAGCCCGCGCGCACTCGCCTTCCTCCCCCTAGCCAGTCTCGCCGTCTCCGACTTCGGCTTCCTGGGCCGGGAGGCACGAGGCGGCTAGAGTGAACTGGGCGGTGACAGTGAGCGCGTCCCTCCACTGACCAGAGAGAAAGCCGCCCCAAAGCGGCGCCCTGGGCCAGGTTCCACGCGAGCGCAAATCCGAATTGCGCCTTTTGACAGAACTACTTATCTGTACTTCTCGGAACAAACCACCCCTAGCAAAGACAAGGGGTTTAGAAATGCGGGCGTTGGGTGGGAGGGGGGGGAGGACGACAAGAGGGGGGGCGGGGGCGTGGAAGGGGTGGGGACCGCTCCTCTGCTTGCGGAGTAGCTTGTAATGGGGGCGAAGGGAGAGGATGACTTGGCAGAGCGGCGATTTGGACTAGGGACCAAGGATATCTTGGGTTGTCTGCGAGAGGGATGTGTTCATAGGTCGGTAGTGGTGGTGGTGGTGGTGGGGAGTTAGGGCTTCACCCCCATCCCCAGCTAACCTTAGCGATGATGAAGAATTGCTAGGTAATTGACTTCTGATTTCTTTGTTGTTTTTTTTTTCAGCAGAACTCAGTCTAACAAGGTCACTCACTGCCTATCCCAAAGAAAAACAAGTAAACAACTAACACTCCAGAATAGTTACCCCTCATTCTGCTTCTGCTTTTTCTACATTAGTTCATTTCGTCTTCCAATGAGATATGCGACTTTAGTGTTTCTTTCCACTTTACAAATCTTGAAGCTAAATCACGGATATGTTCAGAAAAGCACTGCAAACCGCCAGGCTGGTTGTAGAGTAAGGACTCCAAATTCGTGAATCCTTGACCACAACACTGGATGTTTTATCTGGAATTTTCCACTATCTTAAAAATTCCATGCTTACTTAAAAAAAAAATTAAATAGCCCGTATATGCATAGTACAGAAGACCCTGCCCTAATGTGTTCAGTCATAGTGTGGGGACTCTGCATTGTTTGAAATGATCTTCTGAAGAGAGAGCGCCTAGATGCAGAATGCTAATTCAGTACAATCACCTGTTCAAAGTAAAACTCCACGAAGCAGCCCCCAGAATCATTGTGTTCCATTCCTAACCCAAAATAAAACCTCCAAAGGAAACAATATTGTAGTCTTTTCATTTCCTAACTCGAAGAGCATTTGCAATACCTGATTAGAAAAATGAATTCCTCACTTTGGACACTAATTTCCAGTCTGGGGGCTAGGCACCATGTGAGCAGCTTACGGAACAATTAAAACCCCATGAGCCTGGAGATGTAATTACTTCGTGTTACCATGGAAAAACATCGTTTGTGTTCAAGTCATTCCCTGAAGCTTACAAACTTCCCAAGCCTAAAGAGGTTCAAAGAGACTATGCGCAATCAACACTGTGCCGAGCTGGAAGAAGACGCCAGTGGGCTCCTCTCCCTCCACCAGCTCCTGCAACAGAACAAATGCACCAGGCTTGCTGCCTGAAGTGTGGCAACAGGTGGTTGGTCATGGCTGACTTCATCACTCAGGCATCAAGCCACCTTCATCTTCCAGGCCTTGCCTCCCTCAGGGGATGTTTCTCACAGCCCCTCTCGCGTGCCCCTTTTTGCAAAGGTGCACGTTTTGTCTTCAGGGGAGGGAGATGAGGGGGAAAAAAGATAGCTAGCTCTCAGTTCTTTCAGGGCTAGAAAAATGGACAGACTGAGTATGGAAATTGTCCCTGGAATGCTTGAACTTGAACTTGAGTCAAGGCGCAGACTCTTAGGACTAGGGAGAAGAGACAGAGAGAAAAGGGGGAGCAAAAAGAAGTAGCTGGGAGATCCCAGACTAGCTTTTTGCATTGTCTATTGATGACCTGAAGCTATCAGTATAAATACATAGTCTCACACATTAGGAGCAGCACCTCTAAGTTTTAAAATTGTTTATACAGGTGCAGAACAAAGTCTTTTTTTGTGTGAAAAGATTAATGGTGGCAGAACCCTAGATTTCTCTAAACAGTCTGGAAAACTGTCCCTAGCCTCAAAGCTAAGCAAGTGGTTCATGATCACTTTCTTTTTCTTAAAGAATTGCCCAACCTCAACAATTCATGCTTATTTTTCATAACACTTGACTTTTCTTTCTTTTACTTCTCTCTCTCTCCCCCTTTCTGTCCTCCTGCCTTTTCTTTCAAGATAGTCTCTTTCTTTATCTTGCTTTTATTTTCCTTTTCCTACTCTTTTCTAGTCATGTTTTTGTCCTTTGGCTCATTTTAAATCAAGTTACTGGGTCCTGAGGAAGATTAGTTAATGCATCTTCATATCTATTTCATATTAGTATATAATTGCAGCTTGGTTTAACATATATTAAGGATAACTGGCATTTGCCAGCTCTACATTTTTCAGTGTAGTTTTACTATTCCTTGTCCTCTGAAAGGCTTATCTATCTCTTTTGAAAGCCCTGTACTTTTGTTTTGAGAAGTTATCACACATGACAAAAGAATAATAAAGTTTATTTTTGTGTTCACAAAAGCATTTTGAAAACAAAACGTATCTTTCCATGCCTTGAAAATTTTAGATGTATCAACAGGTATATACAATTGTTTATACTCTGATGATCTTGAATTTTTTTTTAAGTGGGAGGGGGTAAAGTTACACTATAAAAAGCACATTAATACATTTAATAATATTTCTTCATCCTAATCCCCCTGTTTAATGGCAGTCTAAGGAGCTCTGGTAGTGTAGTGGTTACGAATCGGGCTGCGAACCTTAAGGTCAGCGGTTCGAAACTACCAGCCGCTCCGCGGGAGAAAGATGAGGCTTTCTACTCCCGTAAAGATTTACACCCTCGGAAACCCTGTACAGGGTCGCTATGGGTCGGAACCGACTCGACGGCACTTAACAACAACAACAATCTTTGGCAATTTATTTTTCTGAGTTTCAACTTCCTAATTAATAAAAGGAACCATCTACCTAGTTGTAAGGAAGAGAAAGTATATGAGTAACTGCCAGGACCCTAGAGAAGAACAATAAATGCTAATTAGAAACTACCAGCTGCTCCACGGGAGACAGATGAGGCTTTCTGCTCCCATAAAGATTTACAGCCTCAGAAACTCTATGCAGGATTGCTGTGAGTCAGAACCAACTCCATGGCACAATACCACTACCACCATTATTACTAAGGGGCCCTGGTGATAGAAGGTAATGACTGCTCAGGTAGTTCAAACTGGACAGCTGCCGTGCAGGAGAAAGATCTGTTTGTTTAAAGACCACAGCCTTGGAAACACAATGAGGCAATTCTACTATGTCCTATGGGGTTGCTATAAGTTTGAACCCAACAACAATGCTTGTTCGTATTATTATGAATTTTCTTGACATAGCTAGGGAGCGCCAGGTCCTGGAGGTGGCCAGGTTTTGGACTCCAGAGTTTGCTCTGTGTTTTCTATGGCATCAGGATGTTTTATTTGTTAAGCTGCAGTCTCTGGGATCTGAAGTGCACAGTTCCATTCATTGTCCAGCGTTTTCCATTCCACCCTATGGGATGGGGACTGCATTAGAAACTTTCTTTTCTTTCTCCAAGTTCTGTCAACAGAAAATCATAACTTTTCTGAAAGGGTCATTTTCCATATTTGAAAATGAGGAATATAATTCCTCAATTAGAGTTGTTGAAAGGATTAAATAAGATTAAAGATATATGTAAAAGTACCCTCACTGTTGTTTCTCATCAGCAGGGGTAACACAGAAAAAAATGCTTAATGTGTTAACATGCAAAAGAAAAATGGATTTCAGTTAAAAAAAAGAAAGGAAGGGGAGAGGGTAAGGTGAGCAATAATTCCAGATAATAGAAAAGGCCATTATTGCCACTCCCACCCTCACCCTCTACGCTGTTGTAAGTCCTAGATGAGGCATAAGGGACAAGGACAGCAAGGACAACTGTCTATCTTCAAGATGTATACTAAATGGTGGAGGGGGTTATGTGCCATTGAGTCCTTTTCAACACATGCTGTTGTTGTTAGGTAACATCGAGTCGGTACCAACCCACAGCGACCTTATGCACAGCAGAACAGATAGCGGAACGAATAGCAGAAGGAATAATGAATTCAACATGTAGCAGCCCCATATAGAGTTTTCGAGATTGTAAATCTTTACAGGAACAGAAAGCCTCACCTTTCTCCTTTGAAATGACTGGTAGATTGGAACTGCTGACCTTCAGTTAGCAATCCAGTGTTTATCCTACAGTGCTGCATCAGGACGCCTTATGTACTAGGTGTTGTTGTTTGGTGCAATGGAGTTGGCTCCAACTCATAGTGACCCTGTACATAGGATTTTGGGGTTCACACAGAGAAGCTGGTGGGTTTGAAACGCCTACCTTGTGGCTAGCAGCCCAGTGCTTATTCTATAGTGCCACACCAGGACTTCTATGCACTCACTAAGTTGTTGTTGTTAAGTGTCATTGAGTTGGTTCCAACTCACAGCTGGAGAGGCTGGTTAGTTTGAACTGCTGGTCTTGTGGTTTGAAGTCCATTGCTGATCCTCCAGTGCCACACTAGCAGTCCGTAGATACTTAAAATCTAGTTGTTAGAGGGAGGCATTTGAATGGATAGAGCCTTCCACACATGCCTTTCCAGGTGATGTCTCTCCCCAATGCCTCCAGATGTTCTGTGGAGTTCTGTTATGGAGAGGAATTGGCCATACCTGAAAATCAAAGAAATGTTGGCCAATATAGAAGTCACTGGCTACAGGAAGCTACTGAGCACTTGTAATGGGACTGGTCATTTGCTGTATTGCAGATTTTGGAGACTTAGCTAAAAACCACCTACCCACTGCCATGGAGTTCATTTGGACTCAGAGACACTGCATAGAGTTTCTGAAGCTAGAAATCTTTATGGGAACAGAAAACCTTATCTTTCTCCTGTGGAGTGATTGGTGGGTTTGGACAGCTGCCCTGGAGGTTAGCAGTCCAGTGATTATCCTACAGTGCCACTAGGGCTCCTAAGTTAAATGCAACATATTT